TGAAATGGTTTAATGAGTTTTTTGAGGTTTTTTTGAGCCTGTTTAAACTCTCGACTTCCAAAGAATCCCATGGGCAAGAGTTCCACAGCTAAATTCTTCATCATATGGAAAGAACAAGAAACAAACCCCTGTTTTTTTCAGTATGTGCCACCTGATTATTTCCTGCACGCATCCTAGTAAGTGAATAGGAAAGTTCCCTATTTAATTTCCCATAGCATTCAAAATTCTATGTACATGTACTTGCCATATGCCTTCATTCCTGTCAGCTGTTTTCCTAAGTGAAGATTTCATTTCTTCTCATAAAGAACCTGGTACATCCCTTTCATCATCACTATTATCCCTCCCTGTACTACTTCTAGATACGCTATAACCTTTGAGAGAAATGCAGAAGTATCGCAGCTGTATACTCTAACATAATGATATTTGCTGATTTATTTCCTATTTCTCTTTCAAAATAATTTTTAAATCTGCCTCACTAGATGCAAGTCTGCAAGTACTGACAATAATCTGCCTCATACTCAAAATAATAAAATAATCTGCCTCATATTCAAAGCAAATTCCTGATGTTAAATGTCAGAGTTTGCTACCTCAAGACAGCAGTTTCCAAGCTGAGGTGGCCAAACAATCAGCAGTGAGCTACTCATTTGAAGCTACTTCTTCCTTGTGTCTACCTGCTCAGCAGTATCAAGAGATAAGTGAGGATATTCATTAAACATATTCTTCACCTGAAATACCTCACATGAGCAATTGCTTTAATTACTAAAGTGATGAAAAATAATTACAGAGGAAAATTCTGCAATCTCAGACTAGTCAAGAAACACCCAAGGGAAAGTCTTCATTATAACATCATCCATGTGTTACAAAGTCGGATAGGAAGCTTTGGTGCTGTTGGCTCCCTTCTTTCCAAACCCTTGCTAGATGTCTGGGGCACAGCCAGGTGATCAAGCAGCTTCCCTGCCTTGCCTCTCAACACGATATATAGGGGTGCCCGGCCACAGATGTGTCTCCTTTAAGAAATCAGAAAGTCAGTATCTCTTTATGCTATAGCAGGTGAGTTAAATACGTTTCAGTACGGCACATCAAGAAGCCGAGAGACACAATGCTCTGTAATTAAATAATGCTTTATATTGGTTCATGACAAGGTAACACCAAGGCAACAGCACCTGCCATTTTCATGCGAAGTAATTTACATAAACTTATTCCTCTACTTCTGTACCTCCAGCTGCATTCTGTAATTTATACAGACATACAAATTCTTCCCTCTGACATTAACAAGAGAAATGAGTTGAATAATCAGCTCACAGTATTAAGTGCATTGCATTTACTATCAAGCAAGCTTTTTTAGTTCAGCGGATGATTAATCTTCCCTCTGTGGGTAGAGTACCAGGAGATGCAGCGAGCTGACAATCGCTCTCGGCTCCTGGCCATGCACTCCATACACTTACCTTGCAACAACAGCATTTGCTGGATCCCTCCAAGAGCTGCTCTAATTCATTAACCCAGCAAAAGAATTGGACAGCTTTCTGCCAGGTCAGTGAATTAAAGTGGCTCACGTAAGGAATGCCAGAGCCAGTAAACAGGAGTGGGAGTTTGCGCTTGGAGCCAGATCTCTTCTTTCTGACAGCAGTGAATCTTTAGATCAGCTCAGCTGCCAGAGGTACTGCAGCCTAATTAGCATCTCCACTTGCAGCTCTCTGTGCCGGGTGCCTCCATTAGGAATAAGCGCACTAATGTAAACCAAGAAGGGGGAAGGGGGAAGAAACCACCCTAAGAAGTGAAATGCAACATGTCAACGGTTTAAGAGACAGGCTGCACGAGGCAGGCCGAGTAGGCCAAATATGGTCTGGTACCTCAGTCTATTTTTAATCCAGGTCTTTCAGCTGTGCTTTGGGACAGTATCAAGAGAAAGGACAGATGCTTGGAGATGAAGACCGGGAGACCCACATGCCAGGCAAGAAACAAAGCCCCACAGATGAGGCTCGATCCTAAAATAAAAAAAGATTCCAAAATATTAAGCTGTTTGTATTACACCACCTATTGTGCCAATTTCTTTTCTGTGCCCTTGCTCAGAGAGCTTTGAATGCTTTCCACCACACTCAGACCTCCAGAACCAAGCTCATCCTTAGCTGATGACACCAACCAGTCATGCCCCTTTGCTCGGGGCTTTTAGACTGCGTAGGAAAGCATGGACTTTGACTCTCAAAGTTTATTTTACTTAAGTTCACTGCTGATGTTTGACCTCATGCTTCCAGATCACTGTCTATTAACTCAGCCCCATTAATCTCAAATCATTCAATCTGGTTTGCCCGCCAGAATCTGCCAAGTTTCTATGAAAAGGTGCTCCCACCCAGTGTTTTAGGGACCCCGTTATAGACCCCATTACATTGCTGCATAACATTTTATCAATCAGACAGAACTCCCCTTTCCTCCATGAGGGACCTTTAAGTCACCCCACATTCTCTGTTACTTTTGTAATTCTCCTAAAGGCCACCAGCCTGAAAAAGCAGGAAATCCCCACCATCTGAGCACACCTTTTGCTATCTTGCTCTGTCCTGCCAACTGGACCAAGCACAGGCCTTGTTCTTAAAAACAAGGAGAGACCTTATCTGTCTGGCTGAAGGAATTTCTGAATCATCCCATGGGAGCACAGGCTTCAAGTCAGCAGCTAAAAAATCTGCCGGCTGCTCAGTCTGGGGTATCGCCTTCACACACGACAGCAGCTGCGCCTGTCAGTCGCAATAATGGGAGGGAAGGATCATATATCACCCACGATGACTTTTGTTTGAGCAAGACAACAAAATGGTGAAAGGAAAAAGATGCCTTAAAGCATAGCAGCCTAGTCCACATGGATTGAACATGTATGTCAAACGAGTAATAGGCAGCGTATGTGGCGGACAAGATCCTTGATGTTAGCTCTGGATGTTCAAGGTGAAACAAGCAACCCATTCTGATGCATTTTAATAGCATGCTTTAGCTTGAGTAACTACTGAGCCTTCTTCCTTCCCCTAGTTCCTACATCATTAATCAACGTACTGAGAAGGAGAAAAGTTACAAGCAATTACATCCCAAAGGCACCCCACAGAATCAAAATAACTTTATACAGAAGGAGTCCTAGACAGAAAGATAAAGGGACGCAAGAAGATCTAGGACCCCGTGCTTGTGAAAGTCTGGCATGTGAAAAGCCCTTGGCTGAGGCGCCTTCCCCCTCCCCCCTGGATTGCTTCATGTGCCACCATCTGGGATCCTCGGGGTTTGATCAGTCCCAGCCGTAGCAGCGGCAGCAACGCGCTCGTCTGCACCCTTTACCCCTTCCCAGCAAACTACAGCCTGCCAGCCCGGCTCTGCACGCTCAGCTCGGGCATCTTGAACCACGTCAAACGGTCAGAGCAGACGTGCCCACCTGTTCCCCACAGCCAGTACAAGCGTTACGTGTTATTCAGCCTGTTTCTCGGATAACCCCTGCCAGTCAGGCTCCCTCCGCAGCCTCCTGGCAACACTGCTGCCTCCCAGCAGTCTCCCAGCAACGCTGCCTCCCGCACAGATGGGCTCCCAGTCCCTCCTCGCAGGCTAGCCAGCCTCCCCGTGCGCCGCGGGCTCCCCGGAGCCGGCATTAGTTGATGAAACACAGAGCTTGGCCCTGCAGCGCAGTGGAGATGGCTCCTAATATGGAAGAGAAGCGGGAGGGTTGGCAAGAGCTTACATCCAAGGTCAAGGCTCGCATCATTTCCATTAAAAAGAAACGCTCTTGAGCTCTGGGCAAGGCTGGGAACAGCAAAAATACACGGGGAAAGCCACTGCCCTGTTTTATTTCCCCGCTTCTAGCTTTCCCGTCCAACTGGCAGTGCTCAAGATCGCTGTTTGTCGGAGATGGGCAGCCCAGATCTAATGGGTTGGAAGGACATTGGACAATCTGGTACTAAAATGATGACTTGCATTTCTGCACACTGCATCAGCTCTAAGTTTTATTCCCAGCCTGATCTCATCTCATCCAGATTTGTGTTAGCTGAGAAAGCCACCTAAAGTTCCCCTTCTGCACTATCAACGTGCTTTACAGGGTCTGTACTCTTTTTCTTCTTCAAGACACTCAAAGTTACCTTATCAAAATCATAACCAGCGGTGTCAACCGTGCAGCCACTGCCCAGTGCAGAAGGAGCAGAGGTGCACGCCAGGAACCATGCACCCTCGAGCTGGGGCTATCAGTTCTTCCCATCGTTGGCACTGAATTCACCCAGTACTTGCAGGGGGAAAAATAATCTTTACGAGCCAAACACCCAACTACAAGTAAAACTGAAAGCATTAACAGATTAAATCCGCCCCTGAGCACCGAAGGCTCTCACCATAAGGCTCTTTATTAGGAAGTTAAGTCTTAACAAGTGGCTTAAGGGGTGGATAAAGCTTTTCCTGGGATAATCTGCCAGCATGTTGCCCAGTGCCAGTTCCAGGCCATGGGAAGAAAAAAGCAAAAAAAAAAAATATAAGAAGGTGAAAATCTGTTTGGCAAATGGATGCCCAGTACCTGAGAGGTCCTCTCCTATCTTTGCCCTCTGAAGCTCCCTGCCATGTTCAGAAAGTCAAAGAGAAGTATTTTTCTACTCTGCTAGCTTCCTGAAAACAAAACCACATCGGGATTACACCTACAATGCATGTGCTCACCCTAATCCTTTGTACCATCAACCTTCTAGAATTTGCCTCCATCACATTCATTTGAACTGTTCGCCTATTAACACAAGGTAATTAACACTTTTGTAAAGGACTGACTTCAGACAATGCACCATGATCCCTAGTACTACTGTTCTTTGCAGACACCTATTTATGAGGGGAACACGCACAAAGGGAGAAGCAGGAACCCAATAATGGAAGGTCAGAAGCTAGGTTTTATTTCTAATTCTCTCCTTTTCAGGTCTACAGCCAATATTTGCTGCGTACTTAAATCTAGTCAAGGGCTGGTTTTTCCCCAAGCGCTGTGCTGCTCTCCTGGCTCTGCACCCTCCTGCACTTACTGCAAGAGATCCGTTCTGCGTGCTGGCCGTGTTCGTGCTCTGCTCTCCATGCGGCTGCGTGCTTCCGTAGAGCGTCAGATTGTGCTCGCTGGTCTGGCCTGCATAGTCCTGAGTGTGTGGCACCCCATACTCTGTGGGAATCCCGTTCTGTGGGGGTGGCGGAAATGGGATTGTGGTGAATGGCTGCACCATTGCATCAGGAGTTGCTGCTGGCTCCTGGTTACCCTGCAGAAAAGGGAAAGGAGAAAATAGCTTTATACAACAGAAGATGGATCAAAACATCACCCTGAGAAATGATACACGCACATGTTCATGTGAATAACCCACCCAACACGACACTGCACAGTGTTCTAGTCTCTATCAAAGAGTATGCCTCGCTCTGCTGAGCCATGACACTGTTTTCTTAGTCTTTTTTGGCGCAACTTTCTCGCTACCAGGTGGTACATGGAGAACAAATTATGGGGCTTGCAAACTGCATACCCCTCTGATCTCACACAATAATGCACAGTAAGGCATTATTCTGGAAGGTGGAAGAGGCACTGAAACATCAAAATGGAAGAGGAAACACAGAAGAACAGGGTTCTTTAAAATATCTAGAAGTACCATATCTGGGTCCATCTCCTCCAGCCTGACCCTCATGGCTCTGCTCACAAGCAAGCACACAGCACGGTGCAGAGCCTATTTCTCTGTTCCGTTACAGTGAGAAAAAAAACTACTCATTTTAAAACTGATCTGTGCAGCAGCCTCTTCCTTTGCTCTGGCAGCACTGAGTACAGAGCACAAGCGCTCAGGTACCAGTCACTGGAATATCCCATTTGCTTTGTGCTGACTGTGCAGAAGAGAACGAAGAGCTGTGGGACCTGAGATGAGAACACAAGCCTGGAGCACACTCACTCTCTTCCCAGTCCTGAGCATCACTACCATTACACAAGGCATTAATTACCCACTCCTCCCTCAGCTCAGGGTATCCCACAGAGACCTTTACGCTAGGACAGCGTAAAGCTAAGACTTTTTAGCAGCTTTTAGCACTGCCTTAGATGTAGTTGACACCAACCAGATGACTCAGAAACAAAGAGCTGACCATGCAAAAAATATCCCCAAAAGACAGTAAAAAAACCCTACCCCACCATGCCCGAAAACCACCCGAAGCCAGCATGAAAGCATGCAGCCCTGCAAGGATCTCACGGCAGGGTGAACAGGGAGCTGCATTCAGCCACCTGGGGCAAAGGAGAACAGCCTTGACATTGAAACCCAGCCCTGGGAAGCCCAGGCTGCTGCACCGCTCCTACTGCTTCCACCGCCGCAGCAAAAAAAAAAATATAAATAAATAAATCCATGGAAAAGATTTATGATAGGAGGGCTGTTTGATTTATGTGCGTGTCAACAGACTAATCCTGACTTTAAATTTTGGCTGCTGTTCCAGCCCAGGGTCCTCCCCCACAAAGCCCGGAGGTGCTCGAGCCTATTCTGACACCAGCATGCTTAAATCGATGGAGTAAAAGAGAAGCAGACCTTATCCTGCGGATAGGAAAGGCAGAGGGGGAATTACCAAGCAGCCTTTCAGCAGAGAGCGTGCAGGGGCTGACGGACCTCCAGTGAAGCTGGACAAACCTTGCAGTCCCTTTTATCAGCCTACCTGCAGCTTTCCCTTCCGGGCGAAGGAAACAATGATAAATGCAGCGCACCTCCAGCCAGCACCGGGTCATTCAGACACTGGCTGAATCCCAAATTTGCTCTGACATTAGTCTATCTGGTCTGCCTCCCCTGGGGGCCACGTGGCCAGGCGCTCCCGCAGCTGGGGAGAAGGAGAGGGAAGGGCATTCAATACCACTTAGCAGAGCCCGAGCTGCAGCCTTGGCCCCAGCCGAACCACGGACGGTTTCATTAACTAAAGTCCCGCCGCGGCAAAGCCTCGCTGCCTGCAGAAACACAAAACTCTGCAGCCTTATCTGAGAAAGAAAAAAAAATATAAAAAAAAAAAAATCAGGCAAGTGTGCCAGCAACGGCCAGTGCTCGGTTCTTTCACGCACTCCCCCGAGCCGTTGCAGCCCTGCATGGCGGGTTAGCAGCTCTGCGGAGGTTTGTCACACACCGAGCACATTTTTCTGAAAGCAGGACAGGGTGGTGGGTTTTTTTTCACCCCCCTGCAAAAAGGCAGGCAGCTCCACCAGCCTTCCACTTCTGCTCACACACTTTGCCATTCTCAGCTCGGAAGCAGGGAGGTTGTGACTCAACCTAACCCATCACCAGGATCCACAGGGGGAGTTTTACCAAGGGGAGGGAGGAGAGGCTGAGCGATGGCCATCCCACTGCAAACCAGGTGTCTGCTGCCCCATCGCTCACCTACTCGGGCTATTTGTCCCCTGTCACAACAGCTCCACTCTGCCTGCACACTGCCTTCTTATTTAATTGTAGCAAACACTCTGTGTGCTTCCCCGTAGCCCACATTGTCTCCCCCTTTCTTGTGTTTAAAATAAGAGCTAAATATGAAACTGATGTCTTTTTTTTTCCATTTCAAAAATTGGTAGGAAAGATGCAGTAGCAGAAACTATTTTCAATTTTCTTAGAACCAGCCAGATTTACAAGCCAGTAGTACCCCAGATAGGAGGAAGAGAATGCTAATTAGCCACAAACAAAACCTATTCTGCTGTCCTCTCAACAGTGCAGGGCTGCTCCCCAAAGGACACGCTCCAGCATTTTGTTTAATCTCACTCTTAGACTACTTAAAATGCCAGCCCATAAACCTTATATAATCTTATTTTCAATGTTTTTACCCTTCAGTTAATACTGTTCCTTCCAGTTTAAACACATTTCAACTTTTAAAATATTTTCTCTCCCTTCTTCAATTATCTACAAATGTTTGAAGGACAAAAAATGCTCGCTCTCTCTTCTGTTGCTTGTGGTGTTTTGATAATACATATTTATTTTGAGCTTAATCATACCACCAAAATATCCTGGTAACTTTATTTATTACTTCTCTCTGACCTTCCTAAGATTTTCAAATAAGGGATTTTTGGTGCAGAATGAAATGTTTTTAATACTATTGTCACTTCCCTCCTCCCTCCCTTCCCCCCCCCCCCCCCCTTTTCTTCCCATCC